CCAACCAACTGCCTTTCTCACGCAGAATGTCGGTGCCGCGTACGGTGACTTTGAGGGCCGTATGATTCCAGCTTTCAACATCTCGTCGGTCCAGTCTCGAATCGCCTTTTTCATCTCCTCACTTAGTCTGAACTGCTTTCGAGCTACAGGAGTGTCGTCGACTAGCTCGATCTCAGCTCGTATGTCATCAGAACGAGTTGGTGGTATCGTTGGGAGCTGAGAGCGGAAAACTACATCCTTGTAGCGAAGCAGCAATTGTTCGGCTGGGTGTCCTTTGAGTGCCTCCCAGTCTTGTGCCAATTGATGATCGGCCTTAGAACTGTCAGGATCATGTTGAATCACGGAGCAAAATTCGTTGTCTTCTTCTCGCAGTAGTTTCTTCAGCTTTTTCGCAGGTACTACGCGAGTTGACCCTTGTGCACTGTCGAAGTCATGATGTATGTAGAACTGCTGGAGAGCATCATCATCCCGAGTACTGTGGCCATTTCGGAGACGTCGTCGACCTGCTTTTCGAGCTGGGGCGTGTCGTAGGCACTGCCTGAAGGACACAACGGACGACTGTGTATCACTGCGAAACGATATTGTTCGGTTGGTCCAGTCGATGTCAGGGTTCACTTGTTCAAGCCATGGCCAGCCGAGTAGCATATCCTTGTTCTCGGGGACTGGCATTACGTACACAGGCGACTTGTACTCGGGGAAACCTTCAATATCAACAGTAACAACAGCTTGTCTGCGTGGAATTGTGATGCGCCGATTGTTTCCGATCTTCACTGATAGCGGTTCTGAGCATTGTTTCACTTGAACGTTTAGCTTGTGAGCCAGCTTCGGTGAGATTGCGTTGAAGGATGACCCACTGTCCACGAAACACTGAGCAACACGGTCGTGAATTCGTGCGTTCTGGGCCAGGTAGCAGTATAGTTTGTCCGAATGAAATGCTAGTCGCTTCGAGTTCCTACTAGCGACTTCATCAGATGTTGGCGGCGCAGATGGCTTACTGCCACAGCTTCCTGCACTTGATGGCTCGGTAGGTTGCCACCCTACCGAGCTGGACCGTTTTTTGGCGGCCCAGATTCAGCATCAGCAGTGACGTCGCGAGCCTTCGTACGGCACTCGTCCTCTGTGTGGTTTTTCCTTTTGCAGTAGTTGCATCGTTTGACCGGATTATCCTTAGAGGCGACTTTGTTCGACTTGCTGTTGCTGGAACTGCTGTTGTTTGTTTTGGCGTTCTGTTTCGCCGGCTCCTTTGCAGGAGGCCGCGTGTTAGCGGGCTTGGCGTCCTCATAGCGCTGAGCTAACTCGATGGCTTTCTCTAGCGTCTCGGGGATGTTTTGCGAGATGTATCCACTAGTGTTGGTGCGCAGATTCTGCTGGAAAAACCAGTGCTTGACGACTTCGGGCAGTTCTGTATCCACTTGTGAGAGGAGATGTAAGAACCGCGAGGTGTACTCCTGCTGCGACTTGCCAGGGTTCAGCTCATACATCTTCGTCAGCGTTTTGTACTTGAAGTCCTTGTCGCGGAATCGAGCACGGATACGCTCTTTGAAGACACCCCATGTAAATGGACTGGCACCTAGCGAGATCTTCACATCACGGTACCATGCTTGTGCGTCCGTACCGAGGTTGGCAAAGGCCATATCGGAAAAATTGGAGGAAAACTCGTGCATCTCGGTACGGAACTCGGAGTAATACTGCTCTGTGCTGAAAATCCATAGCTCCAGGTCATCCTGATCGCTGCCGTCGAAGCGTGGCGGGTCGGCCTTCTTGCGAGATGGTCTTGGACAAGTTTGAGCTCGCACAATCTGTTGCTGGATCTGCGTCGTCTGAGCCAAGAGTTGTGTCATCTGCGTCGCTTGTTGTTGCGTAGTTTGCAGGGTGTGCTGCAATAACTGCGCCAACATTTCAGGCGTTAAAGTAGCCTGCGCGGAAGATGGCTGCGTTGATGAGCCTTGTGCTGTGGGGTCTTGTGCCGAGGGTCCTTGTTCGCCTTGCTCAGTCGTCGTAGGCGGCGGGGTAGCTGGCCGGGGGTACATCCCATAGCGTCCCTCGCGGATTCGTGCGTGGGCGCTGGTGAGGGCGTTCGTCACGCGTGTCCGAATCCGTGGTTGGTGGCATCGCTCTCTTAATAATAGTTAATTAACTGTCACGAACTCTGTCGAGTTCGAGCTGGGGAGATCCTCAAGTGGCAAGTTTAAGAATGAATTGAGAGCGCACGAGCAAATGCAAAGCTAGCTAACTGCCTACAACTTTGAGATGAGTCTCCTGGCC